GTTAATTAACTCTTCTCTGCGCAATAAGCAGTTTCAGTCAAACACTTCAAGAAACTACAGCAGTATATTGAGAGCACCACACAACCACGTACATCTGCAAACTATGCCGCATTCTTCAGCTGGCTTGCCTGAGGCTCTTAAAGGGCTGCTCCTTGAAGCAGCAAGACCAGACAGCTCCTGGACAACTGCTGTCACATTTTAACCCCTCATTTTGGAAATGAAAGCCAGACACATCCAAATCCTTTTCGCTCAGAACGTCGTTGTCCATTTTATCAGCTCCACTTACTATATAGGTGCACTTTGTAGTTCTACAGTTACAGACTGTAGTCCATCTGTTTCTCTGCATACTTTGTTAGCCCCCTTTTACTCTGTGCAGCAGCAGATGAGCTATCGTCTCTGACTTCACATCTACAAGGTGGGCTGACAAGGTAGGAGTGTCTAATAGAGTGGACAGTGAGTGGACAAATAGTACCTGCTCTGTGAGGGTCCATGGGGATCCTGACCACTAAAGAACAGGGTAAAAGGGGGCTAACAAAGTATGCAGAGAAACAGATGGACTACAGTCTGTAACTGTAGAACTACAAAGTGCACCTATATAGTAAGTGGAGCTGATAAAATGGACAACGAGCGTAGAAACAAGGAGGTGGTCATAATGTTATGCCTGATTGGTGTAATTCACTGACATATAGTTGTATTTAAATAACATTTTTGATTATCTTAAATAAAAATAAATAAGGCAGTAATTATGGCATGTCCAAAAATTCTAAATCAGTACTTAGTAAAATTCCTTTGGCCAATATCACAGCTCACAAACGCTTTTTGCAGTGTGCTACAACTCCGACTGTTCTTGTTTCAGGAATTTTCACCCACTCTTTCTTGCAGAAAACTCTTGAATGCACAGAATTAATAAGATCTAACCACAGTGTCATTCAGTAAGTGCCATTCTAAAAGCTTCATTAAGTGCCATTCTAAAAGCTTCAGCTTGCATTTCTTTAAGTAGTTTATGGTGGATTTTGAGGTATGTTTTGGATCACTGTCATGTTATAGAAGCCAGCCTTTTTCAGCTTCATTTTTTTGACTGACTGTGTCACATTTGCTTCCAAGATTTGCTGATATGTAAAGGAATCCTTCTTCCATCTATCCATGCCATGTTTTCTGTGCCACTGGCTGCCAAACAACCCCAAACCATAATACATCCGCTTTCATGCTCAACAGGTTGGCAAGGTTTTCTTTACATCAAATGCTGTTTCTTTTTCTCTAAACATACCTTAGGTGTTTGTCACCAAAGAGTTCCATCATTCCACAGCACTTGTTTCCAAAGTACCTGTGCATTATCTAGATGTTTTTTTGCATAACTCAGATGTTGACTTTTGAGGCTGCAGGTAAGGTTTCCTTTTGATGACTCTTCCATGCAGATCAGGCTTGTACAAGCAGTGCTACACAGTAGAACAGTGTACCACCACTACTATGTCTGCTAAACCTGCAGGTCTTTTGGTGTCATATGGGGGTTTTGCTTTGCCTTTCTGGCCAGCACACTAGCAGTCCTACAACTGTTGTGTAGGATACAACTGTTGTGTCCAAAAGTATCCAGACATCCCCTTCAGCTATTTTATGGTGCACCCAGTTACACACATGCAGTATATAATCTCCATAGAAATGCATTACCAGTAGAATAGTGCACTCTGGAACAACTCCCTATTAATATCCCTTGATTTCAGAAGAAACGCTGGATGATCAGGAGTCTACAAACTTTTGGACACATAGGGTACACAAAAACATATCCTCATATTCTTCAGGAACAAGTTGAAGAACCCCAAAGTACAAACAGTACCTGATTACAGCTCTGCGGTGAACAACTATCCTCCCTTTGCACTCTTTCTGGAAAGTCTCCACCTGGCTGTGCTGACAAGTGATGACCATTTATTGGTGCATTCTTGGCTGCATATTTTGAATGAATATCCCATGTTCCCTTTTTTGGCCCTTTTATCTAAGGTTAGAGAGGACCCAGGGGGCCATGGCTAGAGTAAAGGCCACTCAAGGCTTTTGACATTCCACTGAAATGGCCTAGATTGTGTTCTAGCGAAGATCTGGAAGTGATTCATCGCACACATAGCAAACAAGCATGTGCACAGAGATAGCAGTGTTCAACTGCACCTCTCAAACCTACAGACAGACTTCTGCAAAAGCAGAAGCGGGTGAACTGGAGGCCGAGACAGGCCTGGATCGCTTTGTTTGTAAACAGTGGAATGAAAAAGTACATTGGATCATAATGAGCTTAGAACATCTTGAGGCATCATAGAGATCATAAAAACAAAATGGCCATAAAAGTCAGAAAGAGCGAGTGTTGATGGGGATGGCGATGCGGTTCAAATGCTGTAGTTCACCTTGGCTTTATTCTACATTTAATGATCTGCCAAAAACCCCTATTCGCTTACTGTGGCTGTCCAAAGAAAAACAAGTATCCCTAAAATGCCGACTTTACAGGAGAAGGCGAAAACCCTCTTTACTTTTAATGTAAGTTAAGGTAAAGGGATTTTATTCTGAGCAAATTTGGACCATCTGTTGGTCATGAAATTTTCACACAGTGTAGAGGACAGATGAAAATAACATCACTGCCCAAATAATAAAATAAGTAAATAAAAAAAAAAGCCCAAATGATGTAGAAAAATTAAACCCACCAAAAATGGAGAAGCTTCGTTTTTTGGGCAGCGATGTTATTTTCACTGCCAATGGACAGTTTATTATCTTTTTTATTTTAGTTTATTTATTAGAAAGGAGCTCAGTTCCATCTGCTGTGCTGGATATGTGATGATTTCAAAAGCAGCACATGAACGAGAACATTAAATAAACAGACAGAAGTGGCAGTACACTGGTATAACATTTATATACCTCTTATTTTACACACACACAGAAAACTGTGTGTACAAGGGTACAAGCAATGTAAATGTACATCCAAAGGTCCATCATGGTCCTCATGGTCAAATTGTCTTTAATTAGTGTTTAAGGTATACTACATCCACTTACTTTACTTCAGGGCCCCACCCCAACGACAGGATTTGTAGCCCAAAAATACAGTTTAGTCCATTTTTTGCTGAGAGTGCACAGTGGTGTGCAAAAATTCAAATTACACGGTTTTGTTGATTTTCTAAGGGAAAGTAAGCATACATCCTCTACACACTTAAAATGATGGTTCTTCAGGGGTTATTTAGTAAAGGAAATGGTTCCATATAGAACCTTGAACACTCAAAGAACACTCAAACACTTTTTAAAAAGGTTCTATATAGAACTGTACACAAGACATGCTCCATCAGTCTAAAGAAAAATTTCACGATGCAAAGAACACTTTAATCGTGCAAAGGGTTCTTTCACTATTCATGGTTCTATATAGAACCATTGTATTTACAAAGGAACCCTTGAAGGACCATCGTTTTGAAGAGTGTACAGAGAAGAAACATTATAATGCACTAGTACTGCTTATTTAACAAATTGAAAAAACATAAAATGTGGCCTGTGCAAAATATAAATGCTCAGTTTTTTTTCTCAATATGTTAAACTGAGCCAATAAATAGAAATTGTGTACTAAAGTTAGCAGAAAATGTCATATTTAAGTTTGCCGCCTATAGAGAATGTGTTCATTTATTCACCATTATTAAACGTGTAATTTGAATATGACTGTATATGTAGGAAATATGTCACAGAAATGACTCATCTCTCTCAGACTGTTGGCTGAATCCTGTTTTGTACCCAGGGAAATTTATCTCTATGGTCAGAGAGTATGACCACGCGAGATATATTTCCATAGTTGCCGTTCAGTCGTTTAATTTGTTTACCACCCGTATTCCGGCACGCCCCGCCTCCTGCGCTCGGATTGGCTAGGTAGTTCACACTCACGAGTGGATCACCAATAGCGAGAGGCGGGTTTTATCTAGTTCCATTTACTCAGTTTCATAATATAATATAATATAATATAATATAATATAATATAGGGGTGGTCAATGTGGCTAGATGTCATATCGCAATACTTCAAGACGTTTTTTACAAAATATGATGTGTCACAATATTTATTTTTTCTGACATCTGGTAGTTTCAAACAGACGAAGTAAGCCCCCATTTTAAAATTACTATTAATACTAAACCAATTAAACGGGGCTAATTATGCCCTCTTTGTAATCAAGCATGCAGTACAGGGGTGGGGTTTTAAGTACTGACGATATGCTCAGAAAAGTGTCATATTGTGATGGGATTTATCACAATAATGATAAATAGTGCCATATTGCCCAGCTGTAATATAATATAATATAATATAATATAATATAATATACAGAACGATATGCACATTTGTAAAAAAACAAAAAAACCCCAAAAAACTAGCAAACCAATTAAGCCTAACAATCTTCATATCCTAGTTTTTGACACCTAGGTTTTCTTCTTTCTTTTTTTCTTTCTTTTATTTATCCCTTAGACCACGTGTTTTAAACACAGGGCCCGGGGGGTGGGGTGTTCATATCAGGCCCGTAGTATAATCCTATCTGGTCCCTCGAAATTATTGTGATTATCTAATAATATTAGCCCATTTCATGACGTGCTGCACTACAATCCCCAGCATGCACTGCACTATAATGTGCGTAATGTAGTCTATTGTAATGTGCATGTACTGTAGCCTATTTATATATTTATTATATTTTTACGTATTTTATTTTTGAACATTTCAAGTATTCATTCTGTAATATTTCAAGGTTCACTACAACGGCCTTTTATTTTGATGCTGGTGTTTTGCTCAGGTTATAGATAAACGGTACTAAACAGTCAAATAAGGACTCAGACGTTCTCTGACCCACAGATTTGTAGAGGTTTTTTATGCGGCCCCTTCAGTGGTTGAGTTGACCACCCCAGCCTTACAGTCTTCAATTCACTCGAACTCCCACTCCCACCTCTGCTATCAGTCAATAGAAGCAGAGGGGGCGTGGCCTTCCGGAATACGGGTGGGAGAGGAACAACAACGCTGGACCAGTTTAACAACTCTGTCTGAGGGGAAGTCGGAGCAGCGCTGCGCAGAGCAGAGCAGAGCAGAGCAGGGAAGTAGACGTCTGTCGCCGGAAAACACGATGTCTTCACCTGATCTGTTTCTTTTTTGTGGTTTGTGCGCGGATTGATATTTTAGGACAGGGATGCAAGCTAAACACTTTCGGGTGACCACAGACAGACGAGGACGTTACCGGGTGGGCGAGGAAAGTGGTGGATCGCAGGTTCAGCGTCACTGTTGCTTCGCGGATCGAGGTACGTTGCGAAATTTACCCTGTTTCTGTCATTTCATTCTCACTTTGTGTTGTTGCTCAAGTTCTCACTTAGGAAATGTTTGCATTTCTGCAGAGTTGATGCTGCAGTCTGACTGGTCACAAGTGACCTGCTGCACATTTAAAGGACCCTATCCCTCTTGTAGTGTGTGTGTGTGTGTGTGTGTGTGTGTGAGTTTATTTTGAACCACAAACACTAATAATTCATTTTTACATTACCATCTTCCAGCTTCTCTTAACCCTCAGAATGAAACAAGCTGTGCATGTAAGACTGCTGTATGTAAATGAGCTCTGTTCTGATTGGCCAGCCTTGTACGTGCCTCATTCAAAAAGCAGCCTGGGCTAAAACACTCCTTATAACTTCAGCCTGAGTGGGCGGGGCTCAACGGCTGTAGGCTGAAGAGGTGAATATTTGTTTGAGTTGTTTTTGTGACGTCACAAAAACAGTGAATTCAAAGTGGAGCTTCCTATATGGATGTATGGACTGGGGAATGAGTGATTTGAAACTTTAACAGTGTTTACACACCAAATAAAGCTGTTTTATTTTTTAAAAAATGTGATTTTCCATGATAGCAGCCCTTTAAACTACAGCTTGGGTAACTGAATTCCAGTTGTTCCAACTATTTGACTTTGTTTCGCGACTTGCAGTCAAGCAGCGGCACACGTGAACAGTTATTTATGAACTGACCATGTTTGGATGCTGATAGAGGGGAGCTCATTCGTATGGAGCACATCAGCTAGAGGTGGGGCTGCAGGTTTGTCAGGTTCGTGTGGCTGATCCTAGTTTGCTGGAGTTGTAAGGGAGGCTTGCTGGAGGTGTGGCTGTACTCCTGGGTGCCTCCTCTGTGGGATTGGGAGTGGGAGTCACAGTAGGTCAGGCTGATGTCTTACAGAGTCTTTTCAGTCTTTCTAGTGTCTCTGCAGGCATTTCCAGAGAGGGGAGCTTTCAGGTTGAGATAAAACAAACAGAGACTAGCTGGAGGCTGGTGTCTTTGCACTGTCTGGCCAGTCGGTTGTTACTTTTTCGAAACATTCTTAAATAAAGGCCCTTAGATGGTTCTTGGCTTGGATGTTTGGTTCTAGACAGGGGTCGGCAGGGGTGGAAATGGCCAGATTCTACTTTTTTTGAGGGGTGTGTGTTATTACACACTTCTATAACCTAAGGATAGCTCACCCAGTTTGCATTGAAGTCCCTGTAATTACTGAATAATAAGCCTTAGTATGTAATAAGCCTGGCATGTTAAGGGATTAAGCTGTAAAGCTTGCAAGTTTTGATGCCAGGGGGACTAAAGAATCTGTTAAAAGAAAAGCCTTATTTTTATCAATCTACGCTGGACTCTGGGCCTCCATGGCTTCTATGGTCTGTGATTATTCAGTGACTAATCATAATTTATTTTCAGTTATGATTTTGGCCAAAGATTATGAAAATAAGATAATCAAGAATAAACAAGTTTGTTCCGCATTCTTTTCACAATGATGTTCTTGTTTTGTGTTGTGTTACGAATCCAGCGCACCTTTTCTTTTTTTTTATTTGTTTTTTTAGATATACTGTATTGTAAGTTCAAGGAAATCCACTGGTAAAAAGCTTTTTTTTGAAAGTTCAGTTCATGATTTTTACCATAATCGTGTAGCCCTAATTTCTAGGATTTCTATCATCGATGCACGGATGTTGCTGTCAGCTCTCAGCAGCCGGGTAATCCTCTTCCTCCTTCCTGACATACAGTGAGTCCATTCAGTCCATTTTAGTGTTTTTATACGCTATGCAAAGCATTAATAGCAACAGGGCTATTCCAGTAACTCCAGTCAACAGTTACAGCCAAATGAATGGTAACAGTTGGCTTCAGCTTTTTTCTGGAGATACGACTTTAAAGGATTTGTTTAGTAAAAAGTCAGTTGTACCCCTTTCCCCAATGAAGTCAGTCAGCTAAGGTATGTTTGGTGTCTAAAGTGCACTTCTTTTGTTTTGTGCTGGAGCTACAAGCAGTGGCATGTCGGAGAGGTGGGGATGGGGCCAGGGGGTCATTTGCCTTACTTGTGAATTGGCTGTAGCATTCGCTGTGGAACCCAGAATTAACTGGTGCATCCTGAACTGCACTGTCTCAGGTGTCAAGGTCCAACAGCCGCTGTGTGAAAAGGTCAAACTTTTTTCTGTAAAACTGAGAACAAGGCCGATTGTGTTGGAGGCTACATGGAGGCAGCAGTCCATCTTAAACTCTCCTTTATGGGTTTATTTTTTAGAGGGTTAGCATGCATGGTGGAGAGATCGAGACAGGACATTGTACAGATACATCTAGACATGATCTGCGAACCGGAAATTCTCATGAACCCAGACCTACATCCAGGGGCAGGTTTACTGATTCTGCAGCTCTGGGCTTAGTTCAGGCTCTGAGCTGCCATCTACTCTGCAAAAAACTATATCTTAGCAGGTGAAATCATCTTTAATCAAGTCAGTAGATGAGATTTGAGATTGTTGGAAGAATATTCCAAGATGATTTAACTTATTTCTAGACATTTTTTACAGAATTAACTTTGGAAATTGAAATGTTCTCACTATGGTGGCAGATGATTTTGCATGTTTTAGGAAATAATGCTTGAAACAAGCCAATTTGGAGAGATCCTTTGTTACATAGTAAAGTTGGGGGGTTTTAAGGGGTTTTGAGGGGTCCTGTGCAGCACTGGAGCTATCTATACTAACAATAATGCTCACTTTATATACAGTCTGCTAGCCAGTGCAGCTCCCTGTTCTGACTGGAAAAAAAGTTAGCTTTGAGACTGTAGCCACAAACCTTTGCTTTCCTCCTCTTTTCTTTTTTTTTTGCATTTATCTGCTATTTGATTTTCATTCTCAGCACCTCTTTATAATGCAGGCTATCTCTTAATGCCCTTGTTCATGCCAGTCTGTCTTTAGGAGGTTGTGTCTTCATGTAACAGCATGGACTAGTCCATTATAACCATGACTGAACTATGACTGAACTATGCACAAAAGATCAAAGTTCCTTGGCAGTGATCAATAAAATTAACATTTTCGAGGCTTAGCCTGAAACCCATGGCTTCACCAGACAAGTTATGGTAATTTTGTTGTTTGAAGCTACTCTATGTAAGCTTTGGGGATTTGGAGACCTCTCTGGTGGAAATGTGCAATTGCACGAACAGGACACGTTTTTCCGAGGATGTGAGTGAATTCTCTACTATTATCATCATATCTCCATCTGTATAATGTTGATTTTGCATTTAAGACCTAAACATCGAGCTGGACCTTCTTTTTTGAGCCTGTGCATGTGACGTTAATACATAAAGGTGTACGACGTGGTGTGTAAAACTCCTGACCCGACGCCCCTGACTTATTTCAGGCTTTACAGGGCGCACAGACATCATATTTTAGCTGTTTTATTTTCTCCTAACGCAGTAATGCTTCACCTTTCAGTTTAAACACAGTGCAGATTTAACTAAATAAATATCAGGTCTAAACCTAAAACTAAAAAAATCTCAATTTTGTGTTGAAGGCCCTTTCAGCCAAGGCGCATTGACTGAATTTTGGCTTGTTTATTACTTGTTTGGGAAATTTATGTAAATTGGGTTTTTTTTGTTTTACCAGGTCATTCATTTGAATAAAGCCATCCGCTCCGTAGTCGTTCATCCTTCCTCTTGTGTTATGTTTATCTCTCAGAAGACCTCGTTTCTGTGCTGGGTTTGAGGATGACCAGACAGCACGTGTGTGCATTCTCCTGACAAAGCTTTCGGGGCGTTCGCTGATAAACGGGGGCTGTTCCTGCTCTCCCCACAGCCTGTGTAAATATTTATTGTTAGAGATCTCTCACAATCTCAGATGGCAGGATGGAAAACCGGGAGGGCGAGCGGACGCAGCACTAATGGTCCCTTTTGTTGTCCCGTTCATTGCACATGCATACATCTGTTCCTGTTGATTACAGGAGCTGTGGTGCATTCTCACAATGATAAGGCGCAGCTTTTATTCTTCAGGCAATTTATTATTGCTGTCATTATTTATTTATTGCTAATGTTCAACATGTTGGTCATGATTCCAAACAAATTTTCAACTTATAATTAAGAAACTGTATTGCTGATAGTTCTACAGTACTGATATAATACTTCTGTAAAAATCCATAATAATTTCACCTGCTTTAATATTTGTTTCTTACACTGTAAAACCTGATGAGTTGAGTCAACTCAAATGATTTGAGGAAACTGATCACCTCAAATGTTTTAAGTTCAATAACTCATTTACACTTAATTAACTAATTCTATTTGTTTTGTTGATATTAAAATGACTGAGTATTGGGGACTCTTGTTTAAGCTGTTCTAACTCAAAATAATTAAGTAATAGTAAATTAAATTCACCACTAGGCTATCATTTTGACAAATTCATATTGTATTGCAGAGTTATGATCATAGACATTTGTAACAAAGTCTTCTCCACCTTAATGTCACTACAGACCACCTCGCCAAACGCTGACAGTCTGGTCCAGAGAACTACACTCAGCAGAGAGGAACTTAGTAACTCAGCTCTCTCAACACTGATTTTTGATTGGTACTGATTGACACGAGTCACAAAATTTTATAAATCTAGTTGACACAAGGGAAGGTAGGCTGGGCAGAATGACAACACACAGACTGGTGAAGAGACACACCCAATATGTAAATATAAGGTACTAAGACCCAATAGGAATGATGTGAATTTAACTCAAGAAGGTTGCATTGACTTAACATTTATCAAGTAAAGCTGAGAGTCTAAACTGAACTGCAATAAGTCTATTCAACTCAAAGTTCCCATCTGATGATCATTTATTTCATCGAAATAAACTTATGAAAAAAGCACAAAAGTCCAAATCATTTAAATGTAAGTATTTAAGCTGTCTGTCACATTAAGCCACACTAAATTTTCAACAGTCTTTAAAAACAACCCACTATTGACCTGTTTGTATTTGCATGTAAAGTCAAGTTAAATAAAAATAGTGAATATAATAC